TTACTATTGATAAGCGTTTATTTTATAAATATAAATATTCTAAATAAATATCTACGTGTGGTGTGTGTGTGTGTGTGTGTGTGTGTGTGTGTGTGTGCGTCGTGTGTGTGGTCGGTGTGTGTGTGTTGTGTGTGTGTTTTGTGTGCGTCCGTGTCGTGTATGTGTGTGTGTGTGTGTGTGTGGGTTTGTGTCGTGTGTGTGTGTGTGGTGTGTATGTGTATGTGTGTGTGTTTGTGTGTGCGTAATGTGTGTGTGTGCGTCCGTAGTGTGTGTGTGTGTGTGTGTGCGTCCGGTGTGTGTTGTGTGTGTGGTGTGTGTGTGTGTGTGTGTGTTTGTGTGTGTGTGGTGTGTGTGTGTGTTGTGTTGTTAATGTGTCAAATGTGTGGTGTATGTTGTGTGTGAGTGGTGTGTGTGTGTGTGTATGTATATATATATATTATATTTATATTTATAAATGTACATATATATACTATAAATATATACAATATAAATATATACATAATAAATTAAATATATTATATATATATAATTATGTATATAATAGATATAAGATATATTGTATATATTATCATTATATTATATATATACACACACACACACACACACACACACACACACACACACCACACACACACACACACACGTTAGCTGGTGCAGTACGCCCGTGTCTTCGATGTCGGACTCAGTGTGTTACATATATAGTATATATATACATATATATACATATATATATACATATACATACCATACATACATTCGTGTTATATACTACTGTATAACAGGGGCCAGTATTTGCAGGGCAATAGGAAGCAATGGGTCCCCTGGCTACACGACTTCCTTTAAGAAAAATATTATAATGATGAATTATAAAATTAGGCTTTGTTTATGAAAAAAAATATAAAATAGTGTGAGTGTGTGGAGCGGGAGAAAACTATAGATAGGAAGGCAGGTGCCCACATTCATTTCAAGACTGTGTCCCTTCCTTTATATATTTAAATAAACTGGTAAGAGTAAAATACAGAGGAAAAATAGTAAACAGTGTCAATCTAGAATTTATAATCATAAATGGATATATAATACTAAGTAAAGTAACAGACATTTATCACACCTATGTAATCATTGCAATATAACGATTAACACTATATGCTATGGTCCTATATTACAAACTAAAAAGTGCTGCCAAAATTATTTTTATAGTCAATTAAATCGAAAAAATGAAATCAGAAGTTTACAATAATGACTGTAATTCAATCTTTAGGTGGAATGGTTCCGAGTCCCCAAGGCCTAAATCGTCCTGACTGTATACTATATAATAATGTTTGGTGTGTAATACTGATGGAGACATAATATCGAGACGTCACTTTCTTATCTTGGATTGTGGAATAGGTAATTCATGTCTTTTCGGCTTACAAGTGAATATGGCAAAAGTGGCAATTGAAATTGAAAATACGTTGGTATTTGAGATAAGTGGTATGCTTTAACAGTGCAGTGCCCGATGGATCAATAATCAACACAAATTGCTGTGGCAAGGAATGCATTCTATGGAGAGAATCTTTATAATGGAATAAAGACAGATGTACAATTACCCCTCATTTCCTACAGGAAAGCAACGCTGACCTGTGAAAAGCACGCTGACGTGAAAATCCGATCTAATCCTAGCCGCATTCAAACAAGAAACGGCGCCTACGAAAAAACGGCGCCGACAACAAACAGCGGGCAGAGAGAGGCAGAACAGCGGCAAAGAGCTGCAAGAGTTTTGTCGTTATGCTGGCTGGAACTTCAGTCTTTAGGCTGTATAAGGAATTCAAGGGTATCCATTTTGGTATCAGAAAACAAGTGAATGAGTGCTAGGGAGTGAGTGTGTGTATATATATATACACTCACACATTCCCTCTGTGTCTGTGAGTGAGTGTGTTCCAGTTATTCACAGCGTATTATGATTGAATCTGTTGTTGTTTCTCATTGCAAATGGTGGTAGATTTAGAAATGACACGTAAGACCAATTATATTTTTTAAAGCTCTTGTCATGTAGCAAGCACTGCTAGGATATCAGCCCGTATAGCTGGGAAAGTCATGAAAAGTAAATCTTCTAGTAATTTAATTATTGTGAAGAGCATTCATAGTAGATAGCTTTTTTTTCCTCATTCAGGGGGCTGCCATTCTCCTACCCTCACCCCTACCCCCACCTGAACTAATAATTCTTCACTCATATGTTTAGGCAGGATAGAGCCCAGTCAGACATCTGGATTTTGCACCGATGATATCTTACCTTGACCAATAAATTCACAAAGCAAACGTGCTAGTTGTCAAAATCTTTGTCGCTGTTGGTTAGAATTGCTACCACTATATGCAGTTCTTGTTTATTATTGTCGTGATGAGGCAAAATAGCACCTAATACAGTCCTATCATGGCCAAGTGCAGTCCCCATTGGCTCATTTGACTTACCCCACTTTCATCATCTGCTACATTTCCATCTGCTTGTTTCATCATTTCTTCACTTTCACATAATTTTTCTCATGCTATTTGGAAGTTTGTGTCATGGAGCACCGGGAATTTTTGAGTTTTACATCCTCTCTACTACCCTTACCATTAGTTTGAAAATGAAATAATACAGAAGAAAAATATCTTAAAATGTTACGTTCTGTCGGAGGGCAAGGTCAGATTCTTCATTTTTTGGTATAATAACTCATTTCGCGCGCGCACACACACGCACACACACAAATTGTTTACATTACAGAGTGACCACACCCCTCTAATACTAAGGCCTTTTTACTATAGCTTGTACCTTGGGGCACTTCTGGGCATCCATAAGCATCAATGTATGAACCCAAATCAATAATTTTGTAGTTTCACGCAGCCATCCAACCCTTTGATTTTAATGATGCACTTTGTAATATGAGTGAATGTGTTGTTGTTTTCCATTTCAAATGATACAATTTGAATTTTGGTAATGCTTTAGGAAGTGCCCACACCCTCATGTTTATTACTCCAGCCACTCCTGGAAAATCAACTAACATCACTGTATGAACCAAAGGCCTTCCTAACCAGGGGGTTTTGCCCACAGACCCCATCCAATCACCATATTTCCTTATTAGGACCACAGCATTTGTCATGATGCTTTTTGTCATTTATGACATTATTCTTTGCCAGCAGAGATAATTTCATGGATCATATAGCATGTTTTGCCTTTCTTTATGATGATATTACGTTTATTATGTGCTGCACAACTTACACATTATCAAATTGCAAAAGAAATACCAGAGATGAGGTGTCTTATTCTTGGTCATTTTTGTCCATTACAGGCAAATTTAACCATTACTGCATGGCTATGGGAAACTGAAACTATTCCCCAGAATCCATCTTAACATGCGCTTAGATGCTGCACCCCAGTCAGATTGCCGGGGATTCAGTTTCTGTGTGGCTGACTTGAGTGTAGAAGGATCTTTGTGGAAGATCAGACTTAGTGGGCATCTAGAAGGGGTCTTGTGTGATTTCCACTTGTAAATGAGGATGGAATGTACCATCCATGAAGTTCTGGAAGAGTGCCTACCCTTGCCAACTGTGATCAATGGTGCCAGGTGTGGGACTGCCAGTTAAATGATATAAAAATGTTGAATATTTGCTTATAGTTTGCTGGTGCACCAAAGATACTGAGGCAGTGGCTTGAAACTATTTATTGGTCTTAGAGACCATCAGTCTTCTGATAAGAAGCCAGTCCATGCTCTTTCTTGCTGAATTATACTTGCATTTACTGGAATACCAAAGTCCCAGAAGACAGCAATCAGTTGAAACTATGCCACTCTAATTACTGGCTCATTATGTTGAATTAAGGATGTTTTTATTCCACTATTTCCTTGTTATATTTAGTGAAGATTGTTGATTTCCACAGAACAAAGCTATAATATTTGGACAATGACATCATAGGCATTCCGTTACAAATATTGGTGACCTGCATTTTTTGCAGAATTACTGAAAAAAAATGTTGACCACTTAGAGAATTACTGTCAAATAAATTGTACAATGTTGACCACTTAGAGAATTACTGTCAAATAAGGAACTTTTACAGAATAAATATGTTGGAGCAATGCTGGACTGTAAGTAGTCACCAATAAAGATCCTAATGATTTGGCTGCATCAAATGAAGGCTGACTCTATTTGCAGAATGTTAGTACGTCAAAAGTCAATGGATCAGAAATACGACCTGTTTCACAAGCATCGGTGCCACTTATTTTGGATGAGAAGTTTGTCAATGCCAGGTAATACTGAAATCTAAAGACTGATTTTGTTGATGTATGTTCAATTTTTTTTTTATCATACTTATGATATTGATTGATTTTGCATTCTTTTAGAATTTTCATTTTTTTCTATCACATTTTACAGAAATGTTGTTGCAGCCAGAGAGGCTTGGGTAGAGACATTAGATACAAATACATCTGATGTTGGCATGATAACCCTCCACCCAGATGTTTTTTCTGTTTGTCCAAGGATGGACATCATTCATGAAAATGTTGTATGGCAGAGGAAGTACAAGATGGTGGTAAGTAAAATGGCTGGAGAAAAATCTGCTGCAAGAATGGATTTTTCATCTTTCTATTTCTTACTTCTTTACCACTCTCTCTTCTTCATATTCCTTCTCTTTCTCTTTCTCTTCTTCATCTTCCTCTCAGTCCATCAATTCTTCTAATTTTGTTTTGATTTGTTTTATGGTTTTAAGTTCTATGAATGTCAGAAGTAACCTTGTACAGTATTGAGAAAATCTAATGATTATAGTCTTAAATGCTGATGACCTTTAGTCTCCTAGCTGTCAATGTCATCTCATGGTAATTTCAGTGGTAGCATGATGTTATTAATATTTGCTAATGATAATTTCTTATATCAAATCAAAGAAGATCACATTCATCAAACTTTGCAGAGTAAAGCACACACCAAGACAAAACCGGAAGTAAGAGGAGGAGGTAGGAAGCCATGGCCTCAGAAAGGTACAGGTAGAGCCAGACATAGTTCTATTCGGTAAGTTCACATGCTCTTTAAAAATCTCGTAAAGTAGATTCATTGTCCTTTTTTTTTTTAAGTGTGCCTTTAACAGCCATAAATAAAAAATTGTCCTTTGGGTTTCTTGCAGGAATTTTGATTAGATTCAGATTCAGATTCAGTTTGATTTCATCAAGTTGTGTCATTAACTTTATTCTGGATAGAAGCTTCTCAATTTCATTACAGGTGTCTGTATGAGTAACTTCTTTTTTTCTTCCAGATCACCACTTTGGGTTGGTGGTGGCGTTACTCACGGTCCAAGAGCATTTACTACCCAGTTTTATATGTTGCCTTTAGTTACTAGAATTCATGGTCTTACATCAACACTGTCTGCTAAATTTGCACAGGTAATTTATCATTAGGAAGGGAAGGCCTTCTTAAACATTTTAACAAGAGAAGTCATGATATAACTTTGAAGTTATATTCCAAAAAAGATCTATGACTGCTTTGTGCCAGAAACTTATTTGAAAAGTACTCATTAATGATAAAACTGTTTTTATTTCCTCAAGGATGATCTGAAGATTGTGGAAAGCTTACAGATGGCATCAGATGAACCTGGGTACATAGAAAAGCTGTGTGAAAATCGCGAGTGGGGACCATCTGTTCTCTTTGTAGATGAGTAAGTTTTAATTGTTTTTTGTGAATTTTATTTCTCCATCTTTGTAGGATTTCCTGGTTGTGTTGCTTTTGTTCTGAATTATTCAAAATCTGGAGTATCAAATATTTTGACAAATTAAGTGGTTTTTATCCTCTTTTGTATTATTAATTACCTTAAAATGATATCTGAACAAATAACTTTTTTTCCATGGTAAAAAAAAAAAAAAAAAAAAAAAATCATAACTAAGTGATTCAAAATTTAGTTATTATTGATTACTATTTCCTTCTTTTCTTTTCTGTATTTTAAACTTTTACCCTCTTTTAGTTTAAGTAAAGGCATTTTAAACATTCATTTTGGGCAACTTTTCATATGCATACTCCTATGTTGTATGCACATGTATTCACACTGTTCTACCTCTCCTTCTTTGCCAATATTCACCCCCATATACAGGAATCTTTCTTTTCAAATGTAAATTGTGAAAATACACTGTTTATATATCAACATACATAATTGTCAGTGAAAGTAAAGAATATGAAACTAACCTTTCTATGAAAGTTTAGTCCAATTATTTTCTTTTTATGTTAGTTATCATTTGTAAATTATTTATTGCTTATATCAGTGAGATCTTCTGGTCAATAAATGTGAATTGTAATTTTTTTTCAAGTATAATTGTTCTATCTCATAACAGAATAATCTTCAGACAGTATAATAAAAGTTTAGAATTCTTTTTCCTATATTTTATAATAAACAGATCATAGAGGGGCACCTCTTTTGACTAAAACTTATAGTATGTTTCATATGGGACAGAAAAGTCAACAGCAGTTAGGTGAAGAAAAAAATTGCTATTGTAGATCCTATCATTAGTGAAAAGGATGAAGAAATTGGATATAGTACTGATGCCATTTTTAATATTTTCAGCACTGACCTGATGCCCCGCAATATTACTATTGCCACAGATACAATCCAACACATGAACCTAATGCCAGTTTATGGTGAGTCACAATATTTTGTAATAGAGCTTAGTTTGCTCTAAATCAACTCATTGCAGTGCAATGAATATAATAATTTTCCAATTCATATCTGATGACAACTTTCTTGAATATATATGTGAAATCTTTAACAAGATCAAGCTGTTTTGTTCTATTTTACAGGGTTGAATGTGTACAGTATGCTAAAACACTCTACACTTGTTTTGACTGTGGGTGCAGTACGTCGCTTGGAGGAAAGGATACTTTATCACCTAAACAGGCCAGATTTGACTAAGGCAAATGCTACCCCTTTTAAGAAACAAAATTAATTTTGAGACTTATTCCAAGATTAGATACCATCATAAACAATTGGTGTATATAGAGAAAGACACACAATTCATGTGCTACCAATTTGTACAGGTAAATTTATAAAGAAAGAGGTAGTACTGACTTTAATAAATGTTAAACTTTA